CATTCACCCACGAGTCCAAATATATAATTGGTTTTGGAATCCGACCCCAAATTGAGGTCTAAATCCCCAATTTACCAAAAGCCCTAATTCTACCCAATCCCCCAATTTCCACCATAGAAATCTTAGATTTTTGGTTGGAAATTCATGAAATGTGATGGGAAATTGAAAGAAAGTGGGTTAAGATCACTTACCAAAGTTTTGGGGAAGAATTGGTCTTGGGAGAATCGCCTCTAGGGTTCTAGGATTTAAAAAATGTGGAGAATGGGATTAACTTATGTTTTGAACAGCTGCAGATGTTGCATTTGTGACCTGAGCTTCGCATTTGCGAAGCTTGTAAATGCGAGAAAGGTATCGCAAATGCGAACCCCTCGTATTTCTTTTGCCTTCGCAAATGCGAAGGATAGTTTGCAAATGCAAACATGCTCCTCCACAAATGCAATGAAATGATCGCATTTGCGATCCTTGCCGTTTCCCAGTTCACTTCGCAAATGCGAAGAAGTACTCGCAATTGTGGTAACTATTGGCCAAGCCTTCTTTCGCATTTGCGATGAAGGCCTCGCAAATTCGACCTCAAGAGTGATCGCAAATGCGAACCCTGATCTTGCATTTGCGAGGCCTGAGGCTTGCAACACAGTTAAAGCACACCAACTATTTTCTAAGTTCCAAATCACTCTGTAGCCTATCCAAAACTCACCCGAGCCCACGGGGCTCCAAATCAATCATGCACGCAAGTCTTAAAAAATCATGCGAACTTGTTCGTGCGATCAAATCACCAAAATAACATCCAAAACTACGAATTTAGCACCAAATTGCATGAAATTTTTAAGATAGTTTCAAAACTTCTATTTTCTCAACCCAATGTCCGAATCACGTCAAATAAACTCCGTTTTTTACCAAATTTCACATACATGACTTAAATACCATATTAAACTTGTACCAGGCTCCAAAACCAAAATATGGGCCCGATACCAACAAGATCAACTATTAACCATTTTCACAAAACCATTATAATTTCAGTTTAACAATTTTCATCAAAAATTCATTTCTCGGGTTGGGACCTCAGAATTCGATTTCGGGCACACGCCCAGGTCCCATATTTTACTACGAACCCTCCGGTACTGCTGGAACACGGGTCCGGGTCCGTTTACCTAAAACGTTGACCAAAGTCAACAAATATCAACTTTTTAGGTCAAAAATCATCATTCCTAAATTTTTCACATAAGGGCTTTTCGGATACTTGCCCGAACTGCGCACGCAAATCAAGGAAAGATAAAATGAGGTTTTTAAGGCTTCAAAAAATGGATTCGAGTTCTAAAACAAAAGATGACCCTTTGGGTCATCACATCAGCACACTCAGTCACTCAACACTGTACAATACTCGTTGCAGCATACAACCCGATCCACAGACATATACATAGTCAACTACGCTCACTAGGGGTGTGCAGACTCTAGAGGGGCTCCTTCAACCAAAGCGCTATAATCCGCACGGACAACTCACATGTTGCACAGACAACTCACGTGCTATAATATCAAATCAAGATCCTCACGGACAACTCATGTGTTGGACGGACAACTCACGTGTCATAGTATCAATATCAGGATCTGCAGGGACAACTCACGTGCTGCACAGACAACTCACGTGCCATAGTAATAATATCTCAAATCAGGCCCTCGGCCTCACTCAGTCATCAATCTCTCCAATCTCTCTCTCTCTCGGACTCATAATGTAATGAAACTAGCCAAAAAATGATGATATGAGGTATTAGTAAATAACAACAAAGACTGGGATATGATATGCATATGTATGAGTGAGTATATAAAGCAATGAAAGCAAATAACTCAACAGCAGAAATGACCTCAGTGGGTCCCAACAGGATAAGCACGTATCCTAGACATGGTGTTTAACATGGATCACAGCTCAATTACTTTATCACATGGTAAAGATACAGATATCACCAAAATAAGGCCATTATTCAGTGCCTTGGAAACAATGGAGTCACAATTTACAGGGTGCACGCCCGTCACCTCAACATCAATCACATAACACGTAATTCAGGGTTTCATACCCTCAGCACTAAATTTAGAAGAGTTACTTATCTCAAACAAGCCAATTCTGAACGCCGAATAAGCCAAGTGATGCTCCAAGAGTGCCATCTCATGCGTAGCGACCTCCAAATGGCACAAAACTAGCCAAAAGATAAGTCAAATACATCAACCAATGCTAAAGGAACCAATACCAATCGAAAAAGGCCGAATCTTTAATCAAAAATCCAAAATCGACCAAAAAGCCCAACTCGGGCCCGCACCTCGGAACCCGACAAAATTTATAAAATTTGACAACCCATTCAATTACGAGTCTAACCATACTAGTTTCACTCAAAACCGACTCCAAATTATGTTCAAAACTCAAAAATTCACTTTATGAAATTTTAGACAAAACTCCCAAATTTCACTTTGAAATCATCAATCAAATGCCAAAAATGAATCATCGAGTTGGTGTAGTCGACGGGCGGAGTCTTATTTTTCTCTCTCTAGAAAAACCCACAACGGCTAATTAATCACGGGAGTATCCTCCATGCTCTGCCGTATGGACCCGCCGGATGGCATCATTTCGGCGCGTCTAGATGGGCAAATGACAACCCACCACACGGCGAAACCATCTCTAAAAGGAATTGACGGGAAATTTTTATACGCCACCAAAGTCATTACTCTTCCAAACTCACCTTCGACGGCTATTTGTCAGAAGTGGGAATCGATAATTGCTACTCATTTTACTCACAACGGGATGTCGGCGGTGCTCTTTAAAGCATCTGATTACTATGGTGTAATGGCAGCTGCATGCAAACTCACTATCATTGGCAGATTCTTAAGACCAAGACCCCAAATTGTTTGAATTAGGTCAAAATTCAAGGAACTAATTTCTCTCAAGGGATCAACTAAATTGGGGTCTACGACAATTTTAATGTCTTCCTGGACTTCACTAACGAGGAAGACTTTAACACAGTATAGTATAAAAGAGTCATCGAAATTGAGGGCCAGCAAATGTGGTTGCAGAAATGGTCGCCGGACTTTAAACTTGAAGAAGACTTACCAATTGCTCCGGTACGGGTCCTGCTTCATGGTCTTCCTTTTCATATGCATACTTGGCATTATGTAAAACAAGTTGTTAGCTCTATTGGCATCCCGCTTGAAATGGATTTGGCGACTAGGGGAAGGACTAGACCGAGTATAACTAAGGATAGAATTGAAATCGATTTGCTTAAGCCTTAACTAGAAAGTGTTTATGTGGGCTACATTCTTGATAATTCACCTCAGATAGGTTTTGTACAAAAGTTGGAATACGAGGGTGTACCTAAGTACTGTAGGTTCTGCAAGAAACTTGGTCACAACATAATCAATTGTCCTGCTCTAGAAAGGAAGAAGGCAGCTGAGGCTAGAGAAGAGGAAGCAGAACAGGGAAAGGATAAGATGGAAATTGATAACGCAGAGGAGAAAGAAGAAGGGAGCAAGCAAAAAACAAATGACAATGAACAGAAAAATGTAGAACAAACTTTGGTGAACCAGAGCAACAATATTGAAACAATGGGAAACAATCTTAATAGCAACAACCAAAGCGTTTTGAACAGTGAAGAATAGAACGTACAGCAACAACATCAAACCATCAATGCAAGGACTTCTAAAAAGAAGAAGGCGATCAAGAAAAAGTGGTTCCCTAAGAAAAAATCCAAAGTGGTATTCAAGCCCATCATCTAGAACCAGCGGGTAAAAAGAAAGAGGGACAAAGTAATCTGGCAAGAGTTATAGAGCAGGATCGTTAACAAGAGATTGTAAAGAAACAAGTAAGGAACCTTAAGAATGATTCCAATGAAGATATAGATGTTAATAGCCGACAGGAAAACACTACTGAAAGCATGTGTTCAGAGAAGGATACAACCTACAGCTCCAATGAGGTCGTCCAAGACTCTATCAATAATCATGAAAATGAGGCAAACGTAGAGGGGCAAAGGCAAGGTAACACAGCCCAAGTCAATTCAGAGGGGTCCTCAAGTATACCATCTGAGATTAAGACCATATTAGGGCTTAACTTGGTGGTTGATCTTAATTAGGATCCAACACAAAAACAACAAAGGGAAGAACATGAAAGGAAGGGAGTGGAGCAATATATTGAGGTTACCTCTCCAAATCGAGTCACAGTTACTATCCCTGAACAGTTTCTTCAAATAGAAAAAAAAATCAGGCTAATGAAGATGGCTTTTCTCCTATTAAAAATGGCCTGGACAGAAACAAAAAAATGGGAAGAAGAACAAAGCCAAGGCTAGCCTTCTAGGTGATGGAAGGAACAAAAACTAATCCCCCTAATGGTTTTTCTTTCATGATTAACACCATCTTCTAGAATATCAGAGGTATGGACTCTAAAAATGACATTAAAAGGCTAAAAAGTCTTATAATCATTAACAAGGTGGAACTCGTTGCTATCCTAGAACCTTTCATCACCATGAACAAAATTGAAAGGTACATGAAGTATATTGGCTTACAACATTGTATCTCCAACACTAATGGTCAAATTTGGTTTATGTGGTCTGGTAATTATCAGACTAGTGTTATTGCTAATGACGACCAATAGATTACTATCTAGATTAATCATGCCAATACCAATTGCAATCTCTTTCTTACTGCAGTCTATGCAAAATGCACTGTAATTGAAAGGAAAAATTTGTGGTGTAGTCTGGAATTGGTTCACGGTCAGATTACTGGGCCATGGTGCATCGGTGGTGATTTTTATATTATTTTGGACCCTGGTGAGAAGAAAGGGGGTAGACCTCATAGAATGTATAAAAGTCTTGATTTTAGCAATTGTATGGCTGAATGTGAAGTTGTAGAATTGGGGTATGTTAGCCCTAAGTTCACATGGTATAAAAATTGGGAGTCGAGAAAAAGAATTTGGAATAGACTTGATAGGGTTCATTAACGATCAATGGTCTCAACCTTTTCAACATAACATGGTAAGGCATCTAGCTAGAACTGGCTCCGACCATCGACCTCTTCTTGTTAAAAGCTATAATAGCCAACATGGGATCAAATATTTTGAATTCCTTGATTTTTGGTCAGATGAACCAGATTTCTTGCAGTTGGTAGAAGAAGTATGGCGCACTCAGATTACTGGAAATCCTATGTGGAAGCTACAACAGAAATTGAAGCTCTTAAGTAGGAAGCTTACCTACTGGTCTAAAGAAGTCATTGGTAATATTTTCGATCAAGTCAACATCTGGGAAGTAAACATGCAAGAACTGGATGAACTTGACCTTCTCAACAATAATACTCAATCCAGAGAAGAGTTGAACAAAGGGCATGCCGAGTATATCAGGTGGCTAGGAATGCAAGACACCTTGCTGAAACAGAAAGCTAAAATCAGATTGTTTGAGGATGGAGACTCCAATGGCACTTATTTTTATAGTGTGATCAGAGATAGGACAAGAAAACTTCAGCTTCATCGAATTAAGAAATATAGAGACAACTGGATCCAAGGGGAAGATAACATTGCTAAAGCTGCGGTCCATCACTTCCAACACCTTTCAACTTGCATCATGTTTTGAGAGATCAAGACATTCTTAACTACATCCCCAACTACATTACTGAGGAGGACAATGCCAACCTTAGTACCATACCTGAATATGAGGAGATCAAGGAAGCTGTGTTTAGAATGAGTTCTTCTAGCTCAGCAGGGCCAGATGGCTACAATGGGACCTTTTATCACAAATGTTGGAATATTATCAAAGATGATGTGCAGGATTTTGTCCAGAATTTTAGAAGGCTTACCAAAGTTTATTCACATACTTGTTTGGTTCTTATACCAAAAGTGGAATCGCCTATGGTTTTCTCTGACCTCAGGCCAATTAGTCTGAGTAATTTCTCCTGCAAAATTGTTTCTAAAATTCTATCTAGAAGGCTCAACCCCTTGCTTAACAAGATCATATCTGAGTATCAAAGCGGCTTCATCAAAGGGAGAATTATTACTGAAAATGTTCTGCTTGCTCAAGAGATTGTCTAGAATATTAAACAGGTTAACATTGGTGGAAACATCATTATGAAATTCGACATGGCAAAAGCATACGACAGAATGTCATGGAACTTTCTTATGGCAGTTATGAGGAAGTTTGGTTTTAATGAAGAATGGATTGACCTAATCTTTAGACTGGTTGATGATGTATGGTATTCTATCATTATTAACGGTGCTAGAAAAGACTTTTACACCTCTTCTCAAGGGCTCAAAAAAGGGGATCCTTTATCCCCATCTCTTTTCATTATTGGAGCTGAAATTTTATCCAAATCTCTTAACAGTCTCATTGGTATGACCAACTTCACTCCTTTCACTATGGACCGTAAAGGCCCCATTATTAACCACCTAGCTTATGCCGATGATATTGTTATATTTAGTGGAGGGGACAATAAGACCATTAAGCTTATCAAGAATGTGACTAGGAGGTATGAGAATGCGTCCAGAAAGTTAATAAAGCAAAAAGGTTTTTCATCACTGCTCCTAACACCTCAGCTAACAAGATTAACAGGATCAGAAATGCTTCAGGATTTATGGATAAAAGCTTCCCTTTCAACTACCTGGGGTGTCCTATTTATCAAGGAAGGAAAAATACTACTTTGTTCGATGGTATGTTGTCTAATACTGTGGGGGCAAGCTTATCCTTACTAAACGTGTTCTGCAATTGCTTCCCATATATAATTTATCTTTTTTGAATCCCCCTAAAAGTGTAACCAAACTCATGGAGAAGCATTTTTCTAATTTCTTCTGGGGTACTTCCGAAGGAAAAAATAGCTATCACTGGAGTGCCTGGTGTCGCGCCCCCTTTTTCCTTTGCAGAGTCCGGGTTTCGACATTCATGGGGATCAACTCGTTTCCTTTTGAAAATTGGGTATTTGAAGAGTTACCACCTAACGGATTAAGATGTGTTAGGGCACCTAGAGCAATTAACTCATTTAATCAGTTTGCATTACCAGAGATTAGGGTAAGGGCTCAAAATAACCTTGATGGAAAGGTGTTAGGCACCTCTCGCGGTCCACAACGGTGGGTCCCGGCCGAACTTAGTTATGTGAATTAATAGGCAAGTAGTCTAAGCACGCATTTGCAAATAAAGGAAGCTTATGCAGTTTGAACACATATATGTAAATAAAAGGAGTTTAGGCAGTTTAAACACATATATATAAGTAAAAGAAGTTTAGGCAGTTTAAACACACATATGTAAGTAAAAGAAGTTTACGCAGTGTGAACACATATGCGTAAATAAAAGAAGGGAAGTCCTAAGTTGGTTAGCCTATAGGATCAATCTGTGCAATGTCCGGTAATCCTCCTCAACTAGAGGGGCTACACATGACATTAGCACACAAGTCATCATATCCTTTTACTACTCATTACCCTCCCCTTAGGGAATTATGGAGGTCGAGCATTAAGGTTGTAGGTTAGGGGAAACTTGTGAATATTTCTATAGCACAATAGAGTGAGACTAGCCAGTTAGGAGTTAGACTAAGAATGGCATTGGTCGTCTATTGATGCAGGGCTTTACCTGCTAGTTTTACTATACCAGCCATTTATTTCGTATTTCGTATTCTATATTTTATATCTCTTATATTGCTGTTATTTTATTATGCATTTTTATGGTACTAATATATCGGCTCATGTTGCTTTTTTGAGCCGAGGTTCTCCTGAAAACAGCCTCTCTACCCTTCGGAATAGGGGTAAGGTCTGCGTACATATTAACCTCCCCAGACCCCACTTGTGGGATTATACTAGGTCGTTGTTGTTGTTGTTGTTGTTGTTGTTGTACCCTCCTCTTAGTGGTTATATAAGCAAGTTTAATTAATGAACTCTAAGCTTGCTTTACCCGTCCTTTCCTTATGGTCCCAAAGGCGTTTAGGACCTCTATACTTAGGCAGTTCTAGACACTCCTAAGATACTTAAAAGGTAAAATCTAAGCGACAACAAAGAACATGTAGGACTGTCAGATAGGGAAGCAATTAGGGGCTCATGTTTGCCTCCACACATAAACAGATACATAGCACGTCTCAAACAACTGATTTTAAGGAAATTCAGAAAGCCCTAGAACATGATATGAACATCACAATCATAGAATATGCAGCATTACTTAAAACGAAGTGATATAACCTGATCAATTGCCTACTGATTTTTAAAATCTGTTGAACCTGAGCAATTTTACAAATAAGTAGAATATAACTTTACAGTTTTAGACCATTAATTACCTAAGGCTTGCCTAGGCATAGGCTGTGTGCAATCATAATTCTGAGAACAACTTGAAGTTATCCAATCCTATGGGCATGCTAATCTAGATGATTAATATTACAAAACTGATTTCATGCATGTTTACACTAAGACATGATATCTATGTGTTGGACTATTTTTAAAACCTTTATATAGATAGTTATTCGTTTAGGCGGCGTAGACATGATTTAGAGCCAATGCAAATAGAGTCCTAAAGCAGGATTTCTAGATGGTCATTTTATCAAGCGTGATTACAGCAGTAGTTTAATAACAGGATTTGCAGGTGATAACAACTTATGCAGAATCAAAAATGAAGTGATGAACTATAACATATTTTCTAATATGCAAAGGCAATAAACGTGAACATCCTAAGGCAGGATTTCTAATGCAAAGAACATGTTTATGACATGTTTTTGATGCAAGTAACATGGCATATAGACCTAAAGCATGATTTTTATCACAATATCAACCCAAAGCAGGAAATTCATATATATAAACCTAAGAGCATGATTTCTACTGCAGATCACATATATGAACCTAAAAGCATGATTTTTACCCGGTTTCCACAAAAATCATGTATGAACCCCACCCTTTTTTACTAATTGCCCCAATATCTGTTTACAAATAATATTATTATAGACCAGAATCAAATAAATTACATAAGTAAATGAAACTATACTATATGGAGCCTAAATCAGGCCCAAAGTAAACCTGGGGATGCCAGGCCTTCAGTACAGTCTTAGAAGCCAAAGATCTCACAACCAATAGTGTGTCTTGGTGTGTTAGAGTTCCCTAAGGACCTCATGAATTTCGAGCAGTGCTCATACCAAGACCTATCTTAAGTAGATGATTGATTATGTACAGTGGAAAGGTCAGCCCTGGTATACCAAAGTTCAGAGGGATCTCAAGGATCCATATGCAGTACACACACCATAGGGGAAGAACTTAAATAATTTAAGAGTAGAAGTGAGAGTACTTGACATAAAACAGTGTTGAAATAAACTTTCAGGAGTGGAAAAGGTTTTCAGGAATAGACACAGTTTAGAGAAAATACTAAGAGTAAAAAATAGTTTTGAAATCAATTTTGAGAAGAGCAAGCACACAGACTTAGAATTCTTAGAATCACAACATTCAGCAATCAGCTTTAAAAATAGAGGTCAATGGGGTTAGGACATAGAGAGTTCAAACATACAACAGGGTCTAGGGGGGCATATGGAGCAACAACTGTACAGAACAAACAGGAGTCTAATAGTTCAGAGACTCAACAAACTAGTCATGATAAGAAGCAATTAAGGCATAATCATGTTGAAGACAAAGTGCGTGCTCATTAGGAACAACCAAGTACACTAGACAACTAAATTATCAACATGATTACACCACTTAAAGAGAGTAAACAGGGGCTGAATAAACATGCTGGTAGAATATCAAACAGTCAAGCGAGACTTAGGCATGCTGACTACACATTTAACAAGATAAGGCAGAATTTAAACATGCTAACTAAAGCTGTAAACATGGAAACAAATTGAATAACTAGTACAGGAACAAGCATGGATGTATAGACATGGAACACATAAGGTTGAGTTTCGAAATTTAACTAGAGACTTTCCAGTTAAAGAAGAGAAGGCAGAATGTAAAAAACAGGTGCAATTCCACTATCTAGCATTGACTTTCAACCGGCTAGACCAACAGTTAGCACAAGTAGCAAAGAAAAAAGAGAGAGTTGGAATGTATGTGTGTGTATTTTGAACTGTGTATTCGTGTGTTGAAGGAGCAGAATGAGAGTGCTTATATAGCAGTTCAAAAGTAGAGCCAATAAGGTAAGAGAATCAGAAATCAGCAATTAAGGGCAATCGGAATCCAATCACGTAAGGAGTTCAGAATAGACACCTTTAATTAGGGGCAATTAGCCAAACGGTAACAACTGGGGTTTAGTTAAGGCAAAAAAGACCAAACCATACCAAATAAAGAATCAGTAAGAATCCCAAAGTTATATGGGCAAGCAATTAAGGCAGAGATGACCAATTAAAGTTATAAACAAGGAAATAAATAAAGTCTATGCATACAAATCTTTAACGGAATAATCAATTAGCCAGAATTTCAAAGTAATACTGATTTCTGGAAACAATATATCAATTCCCATAAATTGAAAATAAACTAAGTAAAACTTCACAGAAACATATAACTTAATCGAAAAAATTAGGTTAAAACCCTAATAGGGCTCAGTTAGGGAAAAATTACAGAACACTGGATTTGACAAAGGAAAATTGTGTAAGTCAAAGATACAGGATGAGTTAATACGATTGATAACACTGAAAGACTCAAAATTGAATAAAAAATTGGAGAAACCAGTATATCGTATAGAATCAGTTAGGGTTTGAACACTCATGCAAATAATCGGTCGAGGTAAAGGAGAAATGACTCACTAAACATTAATAACTTAGAAAAATCTTTAAAAAAACCGTTTCAAATGAACCCTAATTTGAGAAGGATAATTAAGAAGCGAGATAATCAAGTAAAGTAAGGGGGTTTTGTTGAAAAACATGTGATAATACTCAAATCATCTCAGATCTATGAAGATCTGAGAAGAGTTGACAACAATGAACTAAAGTTTCAGAAAAAAATAGCAGAGATGAGAGAATAGGTCGAGAACCCAAATATCCGTAACAAAATAAAGAGAAGTTCTCACTCACAGTCGAACAAATGGCCTGAGATAGGCCAACGAGCAAAGTTTCGAACCAAAACCAACTAGGCTCTTCGAGATC